AAAATTTAGAAATAATTGCTATAATTTGAACAGACTTTAAATTCATTGTGGTGAGGAAGGTTGTGACTAGGTATTAAACTGAGATTCTGAAATACTGAGCTCTGAATTAAATATTGTATGCAAACCCATCTCACATCATTCCAGTGACCACCCACTCACTTCAATCAGCTTCAGGAGGGAAAGGCAGGAGGGTTTGGCCAGGTTGAATCTTTCAACTTTGAAATTCCAAAAATGAGGAGTGCTAAAAAGTTGTAACATGACTTGGGAATTCAAGAGATATTTGGGTTAAATTACTATAATTTAGTTTTGCTTGTAGGTAGAATGTGTGTAAAACTGCATAGAAATAATTAAAAATGATGGTCAAGTACTTGTTGTTGTTGTTCTTGTTAAGCATTACCTGACATTTTCAGAAGGTAAAATTAAAAGTTATTTGGTTTTCTGAAAGCAATTTACTGTATGTCCGTCTTCAACAAACGTACACTTGCCAAGCTAAATGTGGTCAAATCACAAAAATAATAGCGGATTTGAATTCCTCACACCCGAAACCATATTTTTAAGATCAACTACTGAAGAAATGTGCAAAAATTAAGTTTCACCCCCTAAAATGACATGACCCAGTGGCTGAGACCTTTCTCCTTCAAGATGCTTCTTTACTCCATATATATATATATATATATATATGCAGGTTTTGGTGTCCTCGGGTGTCTTCCCGTGTAAAAGTTTTACACGGGAAGACACCCGAGGACACCAAAACCTGCATTCCTGTACCCGTGAAAATCTACGAAAGCATATATATATATATATATATATGGACGCAGGTGGCGCTGTGGGTTAAAGCCTCAGCACCTAGGACTTGCCGATCGAAAGGTCGGCGGTTCGAATCCCCGCGGCGGGGTGCACTCCCGTTGCTCGGTCCCAGCGCCTGCCAACCTAGCAGTTCGAAAGCACCCCCGGGTGCAAGTAGATAAATAGGGACCGCTTACTAGCGGGGAAGGTAAACGGTGTTCCGTGTGCGGCTCTGGCTCGCCAGAGCAGCGATGTCACGCTGGCCACGTGACACAGAAGTGTCTGCGGACAGCGCTGGCTCCCGGCCTCTAGAGTGAGATGAGCGCACAACCCTAGAGTCTGGCAAGACTGGCCCCGTACGGATATATATATATATATATATCCCACACAGCAAGTTATCACAAGGTAGTTTGGGAGATGGCGGGAAACTTAACATGTAAGTTCTCTCAGTTGTCCACTGAATTATTTGTCTTCTTTACTTCTGGGGGAGTATGGTTTATGGAGTATAGTTTGCCCAGGGCCACTAGGCTACAGTGAGTAAATAGTGTGCCATTAATTATGTCCCCACTTTTAGCTTTTAACATGGTAGCTGCATTTATATTAGCATTAGAAATAAGTGACTAGCAAACCTAGGCAGATGGAAACAACACTGCTTGGCATTTATTTTATTTTGATAAAATACGTATTAGAGAAACTTGATGACACCTCTTTGTTTTAGTCAAATGCTCCCGAATTTTTCCCTTACAAGTATGCAATGTGAAATCTATCATAAACTGGGGAAGAAATTAGTAGAAAGAAATGGCGATGCTAACCTAAAGGGGGAAATCATTAATGTTGATGTATTTCATTCAATTTTAAATGTAGAACTTTTGAGGGCATTGGTGAGGGAGCTGAGTAAAAAACCGAAAGTCTCCGTGCCTTTAAGTAAAACATCATCATTATTTTTTTTAAAAAAAACCCCCACTTAAAAAAACCTTCCCTTTTGGTCCATTTTCTAAATAAAGGATACGAGTTGTGTGGGGTGTTTTTTTTCTTAAGCAAAGAGGACCCCAACGGCATATTTTTCTTTTCAAATGTGAAATGAGGTGGAAAATCCTCATTTCACGACAGGAAGGACAAATATTGACACAAAGTTAATATTTGTCAGAAACCCTGCAAGCAACCTGAGTGTTTGGAAAGAAGTAAATTAAATAAAATAACAAATTTGGTGTGGAGCTCTTTTTTAGAATTTGTGGGGGGGAAAGAGAAAAATTAATGTGAAAAGGATTGTACGAAAAGAGAGCACACACAAGCTTCCACTTTGCTGCCCTTCAATACCCAATAGGCTACTGTGTAACACATCCATGTGCACATCTGATGCCATTGATCGCACCATACATGGTGCTCAGTGTCGCATGTTGGCGCATAAACACAACAGCCCCCCCCCACATTCTTTTTTTAAAAAAAATTCTCTTCCGCATATAATTAGTTTTATCTCATGCACTCGCCATCTTCTTGGCTTTTCTGACTTTTTGTGCCACACCTGCACACCCCAATCTGCGAACCCCAATTCTCTCCTCCCCTCACTTTTTCACACGAAATATAGAACCCGCTTAACTTAATTTTAGCCATTTAGAAGGAAGGCTTCTGGAATTTATCACTGTTATTGTTCATCTCGAATGTAAATAGCACATGTCACCTCAATACTCAGTGGTCAATCAGTATTTATTAAGCCCTGTCCACTCTGGCCTTTTTCTCCAAGGAGAGCCGCAGGGCAGATTAGACGCTGCCCCTGACACGGTGTGTCACTTATCTATTTGTGTTGATTATGAGAGTCAGCTGTGAGCAGACCTCTCCCTCCCTCCCCCCCCAGCCCCGCTTACAAGCACCCCTGCTTGGATTTTCATGAGGAAATAATCAGATTAAGCCTTCAGCGGCGAGTTCATACGGAGTTCTCTTTTCTCCAACGTGCTGCTAACTGAATAAACGTGTTTTGTGGTAAATTGTAAATGACATTATGATTACCAAGGCCAGCGTGGGTTTCATTTTAAAAGTGATCGAAATGGCTGGCTGCAGAAATTGTGACTGGCAGAAAAGGTGATTCTGAAAGGAGGGAGGGCAGAGGAAGAGGAAGGGACCAACCAGGACGCTAGCAACCTCTTTGCAGAAGAGGGAGCTTGCACAAATGCAAATCCTAGCAAATGGCAGAATAGGAGCAGGACCTCCTCAGCAAGAGAAATGCGAGAGGGATGATCAGTGGGAGGGGAAGGGTTGACTCAGCTGTTTGCAAGGCATCAAATGAGGAAGCCTGCAGCAGTTCTGTAGCTAGTGAATCACTGAATCTTAGAGCTGGAAGGGACCCTGAGGGTCATCTAGTCCAACCCCCTGCAATGCAGGAATCTCAGCTAAAGCATCCATGACACATGGCCAGCCAGCCCCTGCTTGAAAACCTCCCAGGAAGGAAAGCCCACAACCAACCTGGGGGAGTAGGTTCCACTGTCAAAAAGCTATTATTACCGTCAGAAAGTTGTTCCCGGCGTTTAGTCTGAATCTCCTTCTTGTAACTTGAAGCCATTGGTTCCGATCCTTCCCTCCAGAGCAGGAGAAAACAAGCTTCTTCCCTCTTCCACGTGATAGCCCTTGAGATATTTGATGGTGGCTATCATATCGCCTCTAAGACTCCTCTTCTCCAGGCTAAACACACTCAAACTCACTCAACCATTCGTCATAAACTTTGGTTTCCAGACCCTCAATCATACTGATCTCCCTCTTCTGCACACGTTCCAGATTGTCAATAACATTCTTAAATTGTTGTGCCCAGAACTAGACACAGTGATTTGTATGTCCAGAAAGGCGCCCAGATTTTCAGCTTTCTCTCCTTGGTCCTATCCTAATTATCCTATGTTCATTCCTATGCTCTCTGTTGCATGTATGTGCAGGGGCACACACACACACACACACACACACACACACACACACATGGCCCATGTTCTGGGGGCAACATTTCAGTGCTTGGTACTAAAAAATAATAATCAAAATATGAAGAACTCAATTAAACACTGGAAAACTGAGAAACGGAGACATTGGCATATTCTCCCATCCCTACACAGTGGAAAGGTTAGGCCAATCTGCACAAGCCCCCAGACCACCCCACTGGTAGAAAAAAATACCCCATTAGAACTTAATCCATTTTTAACTCCTCCTTACCACCTCCACCATATAATGTTTTTCTGGAAAATGTAGTTTGTTGCTTTAGTAATACAGTGGTACACTGGAGGTCCATTCTTAACCTGAAACCATTCTTAACCTGAGGTACCACTTTAGCTAATGGGGCCTCCCACGGCCGCCACGCCGCCACCACACGATTTCTGTTCTCATCCTGAAGCAAAGTTCTTAACCCGATGTACTATTTCTGGGTTAGCAGAGTCTGTAACCTGAAGCATCTGTAACCCAAGGTAGCACTGTACTGAGAACATCAGATAAGCAATTGGTTGTAGGCCATTGTTCATCCTTAAAGGAATTATCACACATTTGATTCTTTTTATGGCACCTTTTAAATATTTGGGGACTGCTATAATAACCTCCTCCTTCAGTGAATTTCTTTTCTGGAATAAGATAGCTCAGTTTTGCCCTCCAGATGAAATCTACTGAAAAACCATCTCTTTTTTGTTGCTCCAATCAGAACCTTCAGTGATCTAATGCTTCACTGATACATCTGTAGAACCTAGATGGCATAAGCTTTCTGCATTAGTGCCAACTCAGTCAGCAATCTTATGTCTAATCACATTAATGTAATGCAATTATGCATTTTATTACTTTGAAATGAATAAAGGATTCAATCTAAAAAGTGAATTTTCTTTTTTGAAAACAGCACCCAGTTTTACTCTTTAATTTTCCTTGTCATTTGGAGTAGGCACATTTTTTAAAAAATGATATTTATTAAAGTTTAACAATTACAAAAAGAGAAAAGCAAACAATAAACAAGTTACAATACCTCAAAAATAAAAGAATAAATAAATGACTACTCCTTGTCATTTGGAGTAGGCACATATTTTCCCCGCCCTTACATCTGGTCTCCCAATCACACTTTCGATGAAAGCTAATAATGTAGTTGTACAATTGTTTACCTCTTCAGAGATTGTGTAAAGAGAAATGTCTGTCACATATTACAAGTCTTGTGACAAAATTACAAGTGTTGGCAAGTCTGTGTTGATGATGTATTATTTATTTAACAGGCATTTACAGAGAAGACAGAAAGTGCATCTACAAACCGTCATCAAATGTGTATTTCTGTAGAGAAACATACTATACAGTGGTAATTTTAGAAAGTACAGAAACAGATGCCAGTAACTGGAAGCCTTCTCCACCTGTGCTGGTGACCGACACCTTCATTGATACCTTCAGCGAAGCCACTTCACGGGGATCCTGCTGTGCCACAGAGCATTCACCAACATTTTACTCAATATTGCCATTGAGCAAGCTCTCAAAAATTTGTTTTAATGGTCCAGTGCCTTGGTCACTAAGACTCCACTTAAATAGTGGTCACAACGCTACAAGGATTCTCTTAGCTATCTTTTACGATCAGCCACGAAGCTTCCGTGTTTTTGTTAAAGGGAACTATATGCCACCAGTTTTGTCGTTCCCCAGACCTTCCTTGGCAAATGCTGTGTCGGGAACCAATTACTTCAGTTTTCATGAGAATCTTCTGTATGTTGCCATTCATTGGGATGAACCTATTGAGATACACACATATAATTCTCTTCATGTTGCTTTCACTATAGCAGAGGCTGAGGCAGCGGTGATTCAGAGACTGGCTATTTTTTTACAGATTGGGTGGGACCAAATCAGAACAGTCCTCAACTCATCTGGAAGTGAGAGCACCTTAAATACCATAGCAGACAATGCTACAAAGAGGAAACACCAGTGCCCCCCTATGAATTCATGTCTGTTCATTCACCATAGAGCTAGCCAACAGAAAACCCAAACAGGTTCAGCAGTTTTGGGGGGCTTGCTGCCACCCCATTCGTTCACTGGTTTGAGAGTGCTGATCCTCGAAATAAGTGACCCATTACAGTTCCGAAGGTCCAAGCTTGCCTCCTCATTTTCAGGTGACAGATTGACAAGTTTGGCCAATACTCTTATCAATGCCCAACAGACTGGTGAACTTCAGCATGCCCTCAAAATATCAGTTGATACCCTAGTGGTGATGGTTTCTGCCACCTCAGTTCCAGCAGATGGAAGTTCTAGGTAAGTGAACTTCACATAAAATAGTAATGTTGTAAATGCTAATGTAAAAGGCACTTTTCATTGCCTGTCAATGTCGTCAGTGGTGAGGGATGATCTGAAGGTGGGGGGAGCCTCACAAGAGTGGCTGACACAGAAGCACTTAGACCAAAGGTTTACTCTCCTGTATCCTTCATTCACTGAAGCGAGTGGTACAACAACCATCACTTTCAAATTATGGCCAAGATTGGTTTGAGTCAATGAGCCCAAACCACTCATCCAACTCTAGCTATGTTATCTGAACAGCTCTATGGAGGCACTTTTTGTTTATAAAAGCGTATACAGCTTATCAATTATAGCTACAATGGAAATGAAATTGCAAATCACCGGCAAATTGTAACACACACACACACACACACACACACACAACACACACTAATTGTCTGTATAAACTAGGTGGCATAGAAAAGTTTTCAGCAAATGTGTAAAAAGTAAAACTGAAGATGTTTGCTGAATCTTTTTTGAAGAACTTTTCACAAGACTGGACTGATTACCCTGAAGGTTTGATTTTGTGTTGACATCAGATAAACCTCACTAATTGGGGGGGACAACTAAAGACCCTCCTACAGATGATCTCAGTGATTGAACTGGGATCACGTTCAAACACATGAATGAGAAATGAAGCCACACTGAGAAGTCCAGCTCCCGATGCCACAAGTGCTATGTTGGGGACATGACTGGGGGACAGAGTGCATGAGTAAAGTATTTGCAAAGGGCTTAGATGCTTCTCTCCCACCATGGCTGCCACTCCCAATTCTACTTTTAATGAGGAAAAGGGATTTGAGAAATATGGCCATGTCAGAAATGAGAGAGTTTGCACAAGCCTTCCTGTACAGTAAGCTGCTGCTACGTGACTCAGACCCATTTCTGACTTCACATTTGTCCAGCTGAAGTGCAAATAAATACATCAAATTCTGACTTAGGTTGCAATCCTGTGTATAAATCCTGTGTATACTTTCCTGAAAGTAAGCCCCCTTCAACACAGTAGAGATTTACTTCTCAGCAAACATGCAGAGGATTATGTTGCTGGTTTATTATTGCCACTAAACAATGCATCATCTTGTTACACTTTTGGCTGTTCATAGCTAATTTTGGTTAAATTACTTCATACCAGTGCACAGGAATTAAAGGGTTTGATTCCCACATTACTGATTCCCCCATGGTACGCCATCACCCTGAAGCTGTGCTCTGCTTTTAATATCTACTGTCCATAGCAAACCTATCTAAAAGGCCTTTATAACTCAACACTGTCACTTTATGCCCAAGAGCAATGGAAATCCACTTATCTCACTAGGGTGAGACCTGTAAATACAAGACCCACAGAATGAAAATTAACATATTTCTCCCACTGTGGCGGCTGCCACAGCAGCATCAATGCAAGCAATAATTCTGAGCTAGCTATCTGATTCTATAGCAGCTGCTGGACTGACCAAGTCAGAAGATGGGCACAAAAGGAAGAGTCAGGAACGTGCAGGAGGTGTGGCAGCAGACACTGAGAAATGTAGTGGGAGCAGTGCTTTGCACGCAGGCTTTGCAGGAGGTCACACACTAGGATGCAGGCAGCTCAAATTGTTCTTGAGGGTGTGTGTGTTGTCTTTCCCATCTTGCCTTGTACTGGACTACTAAAAACAACCTAAACTATATTGACTCACATCAGAGATTAAGGGGCCGCATATCAGGGATTAAAGGCAAGCACATCATACATTCAAACAACCCTGATAAACAAAACACAGAGAAAACTGTGTGCACTTATTTTTGCTGACATTCTGCCTTCTACATGGCTGTTGTGAAGGCATAGAAAGAGGCATAAAATAGTGCTTGCATCATAGACATCAAATTTTGGTTCCTTTAATCAAACTTATCTATCTTTGTTCTGTGAAGGGCCATGTTTTTCTGCAACACCCCACCAATTAATACAGCTCTAAGGCTTCAACCAATATTAATCTGGCCTAATTATTGCATATTTTAGGTACCTAAATTCTAGTAGAAAACAAAACAAGCAAACAAAAACCATTGCTCCCGCTTTCCGATGTTCTGCCCTGGAAAACAAACATGCCTGATCAAAGGCAACTCAGTCGAAGAAAATTTTAGCGCCACGTTTAGCAATGAGTTTCACTGGGAATTCTAGCACTCTCTCTCTCTCTCTCTCTCTCTCTCTCTCTCACACACACACACACACACACACACGTAATAGAGCAGATTCCCACCTTTCCACAACAAACAAACAAGACCAACATTCTGGGTCAGGACATTGCCAGCATCAGCAATGATAAGCACACACTTGAGGTAGACAATTTTGTCTACCTAGGTCACACCATAACCAGCAGTTTTTCCATCGATGCTGGGCTGGACAAGTGTATTGGCAAGGCAGCTGTGCAATGGCTCACATCTCCAAAAGGTATGGGAGAATGTGATGCTAATGGCCACTACCAAGATGAAGGTCTACCAAGCTTGCGTGTTGAGCACACTGCTTTATGCAAATGAGTCATTGGCAACTTAGGCCTGCCAGGAGTGACACCTCAATGCCTTCCATATGCACTGTGTCAGGGAGATTTTGGGCATCATGTGGGAGGACAAAAGCATCTCCTAGAAAATATTCAAAATTCAGGCATGGCCAGGAGGTGTTGTGTTATGAGAACTTTGCAGGCATTTGTAAGACTGTTTCAGTGCACTGAAAATCCATTTCAAAAGTCACTATGTATTAACATCAACATAAATTAAGCCTATGAAAAGTGGGGTTTTGTCTTTGTTCACTACAACGAGTATCTGAGCTGACAGAAAATAACTACCTGGTAGAGAAGAATTAGGCCCCAGAATGCGGAAGTTTTCCCACCCCATTTTTGCCATTGCCCACTGTTTTAATATAGTTTACAAACAAACAAACACCATAGCTCATCTGCAGGAAGCACAGCAGGTGAGGGGTTAAACGACTTTAGCTCTTGGGCAGGTTGGATTTTTTTTATACTTTCCTTTTAGCTGGAGGACCTTGCGCCCGCAGGCCATAGTCACATTATCAGCTAGAAATTGGATAACGACAGCACAGTGACAAATCCAGGTTGCTTGCAATAAGGTGTTAATCCCTTCGCTTTAATATCGAAGCAGCTTGTAATGATGTTTGGACATCACTCCAGTTTACTGACGACCCCACTGGGGTTTGCAATAGAACCGTACAAACCACCTAACAAGGTGTCAGGTGACTTCCGTCGCCAAAGCAACGGACATTGCAATCTAATCTTGCTTCCATCCCTTCCAGCTCCCAATAAGGCCCAGGTTATAGAAGTGGCCCATCGATGCTTGGTAACTGGAATCAATTAACGTTAATTCGTGCAATGCTATGATGTATTGTGATCACTTTCATTTCAGAGAAGGGGGAAGGAATTGCTATAATTCACCTAAAATGAGGTTGTCTATGGTGCTGAGGTATTAATTGGGTGTCCATATTAAATGGGAAAGGAGCACAGCAGTGAAGGGAAAGTGGATGAGTGACTCTCTTGGCTGCTATTGACCTATCAGAAGAAGACAGTGCCCTTTTCCTTTGCTTTTATCTATTACAGTTTTCCCTATTGCGTGTCAAGTTGATGTATTATAAAAAATTCATTTGGTGACCTTTCACCCCCTTTGCAGATTAAACAATTTCACCGGGATGGCATCATTAAGAGGGCTTTGCATTTAATGATGATTTCTCTAAAAGGCCACGGAGATTCGATTTTAAGCTAACAGATTTATTGCACTATTATAACATATCGTAAAAAACTCTACCACCTACGGTCTAGTTTTAGGATAGAAGCTGTTAAGAGTTTATATGGAGCTTAAAGTGGTATTACCTTGGGATATGCTGAAACAGCCCGTCCGCTGGGTCTGTCCTGCAACACAATGCTGTTTACTTTTCACACGATACTATTCCCCAGGTGCTAAACCTAAGAAGTGAATTAGAGGACTGCCTAGTTTCAGTCCTTAACCATTCACAGTTCAGGTAAGGAAAGGGTCGAATATTTATGGTTATAATTAATAATGTAGGCCTTGGTTTCATTAATCTGCACAATATATAGTGTGGTTGAAACGTGGTGCTTGGGGGCTGTAGGAGGGACCTGCTGGTTGCTATTGGCAACCATAGGGCACCCACTGAAATGTCAGAAAACCCTTGGGAGTCAGAGGTAGGGAAAGATTTTTCCTAGGGGAGCTGAGCCATTTGTGACACAGTATGGAAGCTCAGTAGACTAGGGAAGATTTCTAAGCAAACAATGCAGACCTTGTTACCCACCAGACCTGCTGGGGCTGCTAAGAAGTCACAGGTTGCCAATGGCTTTCTCACCAACTTCCTTTGCAAAGGTACTTTTAAGCATGGCTGTTTCACAAAGAGTTTAACACCTGCAGTACAGTAACTAAACTGAGAGGTGTCTTACTTTGCTGCAATTGCTCCTCTGCTGGGAGAAAAGTGCTCTTTTCACCTGTTCTGGTATTCTCCTTTGCAAAGAAACAGTTGGCACTTCAAACACTGCATAACAGGTATCCTTTGTATCAACAGTACAAAGTATAATCACCAAAAGCACTTTCCCCCCAGCAGCCTGCTCTCACAGTAACCAAACAAACGCACACACAGCATTTTTAAAGCTAAAGAAAAACAGGAATGCAAAACCTCAGTACTTCTCTCAAACCTAGACACACACAGAGACCCTACAGTGCTCAGAATTGCGGTGCACACAAAAACCACCCACGATGTCTTCTCCCAGTCCTCCTCCGCTATTCATAAAACTAACTGCAAATGATTAAGCTCCTTTGTATTTTACCAACAGATCTGTACAGGTTTCTTCCCTAACACACATCCTATTTTGGCACAAGGGTCTGCTCTCCTGTGGATCTCAGTATGTTCAGCCGGTCTGCGTTTGCGATCTCCTGTTGCGTAACCTCTTTATAGTTTCCCCACAGGGCCTGCTCTTCCTGGGTGTTGTGAACTTCCCCATTTCTCCTTAAGGGAACTGACAAGCTAACCTGCTTACCTCCTGATATTGCTCAGCAGGAAAGCAGCAAGCCTGCATGTTCTTTTACCAATGCTACAGGGAGGAATGTTCAGGTTCCCATGAACCAAAATGCTGGGCAGAATGGCAATACATTCTGCCTTTGAAGGGAGCATTTTCTTTCCCCTTTGGCACAACCAGTTATTTTAGACATTGACAATGTCCTGCAGGAAAGCAAGTTCTTTCCACTATTTAGCAAGCAAGGTTTAACTTGGGAGCAAAATGTGTAGAAAAAGCATAAAAAGGTAAAGGACCCCTGACAGCTAAGTCCAGTTGCGGACAACTCTGGGGTTGCGGCGCTCATCTTACTTTACTGGCCAAGGGAGCCGACGTTTGTCCACACAGTTTTTCTGGGTCACGTGGCCAGCATGACTAAGGGAGCGGTACCTATTTATCTACTTGCACTGGCGTGCTTTCGAACTGCTAGGTTGGCAGGAGCTGGGACTGAGCAACGGGAGCTCACCCCGTTGTGGGGATTTGAACCGCCGACCTTCTGATTGGCAAGCCCGAGGCTCAGTGGTTTAGACCACAGTGCCACCCACGTCCCTAGAAAAAGCATACACATGCATATACACAGTGGAACAGTCTCCCTCACAAGGTGGCCCCATTGGGTTTTTTTTAAGCAGAGGTTGGATGGCCATCTGTCATGGACACTTTAGTTAAGATTTCTGCATTCAAGACGATTGGACTAGATGGTCCCTTCCAACTCTACAATTCTATGATTCTATTATGTTACGACATGGAAAAAGTAACAAAATTCTTAACAACAACCGTCTTGTGGCACCTTAGAGTTAAACTAACAGATTTATTACGGTACAATGTTTTGCAGCCTGATGCCCATTTCAGCGGATGCATGAAGTCTGAGCTGTGCTAGGTTTGTGAATTCACCTCTGATGAAGCAACCATCCCAGTCTCAAATATATTTTTGACTGCCTCAAAACCCAAAGTAAAGTTAGCGGGCTTTGAGGCTTTGGAGAAAAACCAGTCAGTCTAGGTTTTAATAAGCTCTGTCCACTAGACTTGTTCTCTCTGGTGGGAGCAGCAGGCCTGGAAACGGTGAGCTTGTAACCTTTACTGAGGTCTGGCAGAACACATACAGTACATCTTGATCCTACCAGCTATGCCCAGTGAAGTCATTCTTTTACATTTATTGCTAGCACTGATAAGAATAGTTTTCCTGCTTAGCTAGCGTATATTGTGATGTTGTTGTTTAGTCGTTTAGTCGTGTCTGACTCTTTGTGACCCCATGGACCAGAGCACGCCAGGCACTCCTGTCTTCCACTGCCTCCCGCAGTTTGGTCAAACTCATGCTGGTAGCTTCAAGAACACTGTCCCACCATCTCGTCCTCTGTCGTCCCCTTCTCCTTGTGCCCTCCATGTTTCCCAACATCAGGATCTTTTCCTAGGTAAAGTATATAAGCCTAGTGAAAATATTTCCACTAATTTTCTGCAATCCACTTCTCAGTCCCTGTGCGTTATTTCAGATTAGCAGTATTAGAAAGCAACATAGACTATTAGCTTTGAAATCAGCCACTTTTCCTTTTCCTTCCTAGCATAGTTTGCAAAGGCAAAAGCTTTGCAAAGCCCAGAGTGCCTTTAGAATACAGAGAAACCTGCTAAAGAAATTGAGTTAAACCAAAGTGAATAGGCTCTCAATAAATGCATTCTTTGTACAACACCTTAAAGCAAACACCAGGAGAGATGAATAAATGGTTTTTATACTTTCATTTTGAGGCAATATCAAACCCCAAGTCATCACCTTGTAGCAGTGGTTTAGAAGCATATATACGGTAATAAGCATAATGACACAAAGCATTGAGAAGGAAGTCAGGCTGTGTGGGCTCAGAATGAAGTTCCTTCTTCCATGCATTCAAATAATCCCAGGTGCTTGAATTCAATTTTTACTCTTGGAAGTAAAAGTTTAAGGAGGAGCCTACCTGCACAGAGAATTTGAAAAGTAAAGGACCATAGTGTAGTTAAAGATACAGTGCACATATTTGCAGGCACCAGCTTTGAATTATTCCCTGTGCTATAGAGCAGAGAACACAGAGGATTTACTGTACTAACCTGTTAGGATTAGGGAAACTGGTAAAGGTAAAGGGACCCCTGACCATTAGGTCCAGTTGTGGCTGACTCTGGGCTTGCGGCACTCATCTCGCTTTACTGGCCGAGGGAGCCGGCGTACAGCTTCCGGGTCATGTGGCCAGCATGACTAAGCCGCTTCTGGCGAACCAGAGCAGCGCACGGAAACGCCGTTTACCTTCCCGCTGGAGTGGTACCTATTTATCTACTTGCACTTTGACGTGCTTTCGAACTGCTAGGTTGGCAGGAGCAGGGACCGAGCAACGGGAGCTCAACCCGTCGCGGGGATTCGAACTGCCGACCTTCTGATCGGCAAGTCCTAGGCTCTGTGGTTTAACCCACAGTGCCACCCGTGTCCCAGGGAAACTGGTAGATTCCAGAAAACTAGCCGTATGGGTAGAAATTCTCTCACCAATGTGCCCAGTGATGGTTCCAGATGTATTCTGAATGAATAACCAGTAATGGTGGTTTCCTCTCCTCTTAACATTTTTCCATGTTCAAGAAATGGAAGCAGCCAGACTCCAGGAAGTTGCCTCTATGTCAGGCCTTATAACATCTCTGTCCGGATCCAGCCTGCTAATGGGGTGACGGAAAGCCCTCTTCCCAGGCAACCACAGCTCATCTTCCTGGATAAGCAGGTATGGAATTATAAGAAGGCGCATTTGGGACTATGGGATAAGGATGTATCCTGTATCCAGGACTGCTAGATTTAAATTTCCAATGTAAAACATAATCCTAATAAATACCCCATCCTTTCATTTTATAGGTGAATGTGAAAATGTAGTCTTTTAAATATTGGTAGCTGAAAGAGAAATATCAGAAATACAAGAGAACTGCTCAGAATGGCAACCCTTTTCACATAAATCCACTGATAAACACACATGAATAATGGTGGACAAGACTGCAACTTGCATTTTAGTGTCTTTGAAGTTTAATGCATTGTATCACAGAATTTGATGTCCATTTAGCAAATAAAAAAAATCCATGAATCCAAAGACTTTAATTTATGCACCAATCCTTCTGAAATTTTGCAGTGACAAACGTGTAATACATGCTATTTTCATTTTAAAAAACCAAAACACCACCATTTTCCTAAATTGCAGGGAGGTAATCAAGATCCTTTTTAGATTTTCCTTTCCCTATAATCAACTTTAAATATGTGCTGCACAAAAAAACCCCTGTCTATCTTTCTGAAATTTATTAGATTAATTACTTAAAGGCACTTCTATAATCTATACTGTTTTCATATACATTTCTGACAAGTGGCGGGGGGGGGGGGGAGAAGCAAATCTTTTAAAAAATCTCCATTAAACTGTAAAGGCCATGCTTACAGAAAACGTCCTGCACCTATTCCTCGGAAACATTCTAGTGCAAGTGGTAAAGGAGTTATAGACTTCTTTGCTTTCAGTAATAGTGAATGGGGAGAAACACAACTTTTGTTTTCCTGAAGCAAAGTTTCAATGACGTGTATTTTTGCGTTTTTGTATTGTAAGCCTCTCTGTGATTTTTGGCTCTGTTCAATGCCACACCCATGGCTCTGTTCAATGCCACACCCATGGCTCTGTTCAATGCCACACCCATGGCTCTGTTCAATGCCACTGGCACTTCCATTGCTTGTGTGAAAGGAAGTCAAATAAAAGCATCACCCTGACAGTCCTCCTAGAACAGGTGTGGGGAACCTTTGACCGCCAGATGTTGCCGGGCTGGAACTCCAATCATTCCCAGCAAGTAAGGGCAATGGCCAGGGCTGATGGGAATTGGATTTCAGCAACATCTGGAGAGCCCAGCATTCCCCACACCTGCCATAGAACAGTGGAAGCAATAGCTTTTTCCCTGCCTGAAGCAACAGGCAGGATGAAGGATGGAGCAAGACAGATGACTCTTCAAGGGACCTGAGCCCATTTCAGAGTCTGCTTGAATGAGACATCACTCAGACCAGTTCTTCCTACTTTTACAGGAAGGGGGAGATCATTACTCAGATATTTCATGGCTAGTTGGTGAAGATGAGCGGCATAAATGGGTCCTTTTAATACAATTGCTCTTTTATGGATCAGCTGTGGCAGACAAGAGAAGAAGAAAAGCAACTGAGGTTGAAACCTCCCTGAACCGTCTCCTCAATGAACCATCAGTGTGGTTTTCCAATATTTATAGCATTTTTGTGGTCACCACTTGACCGCAAGTTGTTTTAACTAATTTTAATATTGCATTTTTAAATTCTTACAACCTGCCCTGGGTTGAAAGATGGGCTAAGAAATCATTGTCAACATCTTCATCCCCCCCCCAATTAGAAAAAACAGTGGTGACTAACAACAACACGCTATGTTTCTTTTTATTTCCGTAGGGTCGAAGAGTGGCCACAGTAGGCTTCCCCTCCAAACCGTGGGTTGTGACAGCCTTTCTGAAAGACAGTCCAGAGGCTGTGCTGAAAGGTTTGGACCTATTTCTAAGCACCTCTGAGGTTCCATTATAGGCAGCGTAGGGCCATGCTGCTCACAAATACAGTGGTACCTCAGGTTACATACGCTTCAGGTTACATACGCTTCAGATTACAGACTCCGTTAACACATAAATAGTGCTTCAGGTTAAGAACTTTGCTTCAGGATTTCAGGATGAGAACAGAAATCATGCTCTGGTGGCGCGGCAGCAGCAGGAGGCCCCATTAGCTAAAGTGGTGCTTCAGGTTAAGAACAGTTTCAGGTTAAGTATGGACCTCTGGAACGAATTAAGTACTTAACCCAAGGTACCACTGTATGTGTAGAATGTTAAAAGGAGTGTATTTTAGGCAGTGCTATTTTTCTATAGGGACGCGGGTGGCGCTGTGGGTAAAAGCCTCAGCGCCTAGGGCTTGCCGATCGAAAGGTCGGCAGTTCGAATCCCCGCGGCGGGGTGCGCTCCCGTTGCTCGGTCCCAGCGCCTGCCAACCTAGCAGTTCGAAAGCACCCCCGGGTGCAAGTAGATAAATAGGGACCGCTTTCTAGCGGGAAGGTAAACGGCGTTTCCGTGTGCGGCTCTGGCTCGCCAGAGCACCAATGTCACGCTGGCCACGTGACCTGGAAGTGTCTCCGGACAGCGCTGGCCCCCGGCCTCTTGAGTGAGATGGGCGCACAACCCCAGAGTCTGGCAAGACTGGCCCGTATGGGCAGGGGTACCTTTACCTTTACCTATTTTTCTATATGAACATCTCCCTCATTCTCTTAGAATGGTAATGGCACCCACCTGAGAGGTGCCAGAACTGAGCTTTGGTGAGTTCTGGCTGAATTTTTTGGGGGGATTTCACATGAGCACCAGCATAGCTCCTGATCCAAGCAACATCCTTATACACAAAAAGACAGTTAACTGTGAAAGAATGGCTTTATAGTTCTGGGCTGCTTATGTATATGCTTGTGTTCATTACAGAAATGTGTATCTTGCATGTATGTCTTGCTGCATATGGCAAAAAGATACCTGTCTCTCTGGTCTGTTCATGTGGGGATTGTAGGGTTAACTATGCCCCAAGGCGTTGTCACCATGTATGTGCAGGATGGCACATCCCTTTTCTGAAGGTGGGGAAAAGAAAAGCTCCAAACTTTCTTGAATCTGTAACCTGAGGAGAGGAACACATGATTGACAAGGGAGATCTATAAATACAGATACGGCAGACAGGGCTGGTCCTGCTAAGAGCCTGGTGAGTTAGGGATTGTTTATCCAGTTTTGATTTGTTTTTGCTCCAAAGGGTACATTTTGGGTTTCAGTCCTTTTGAGCATCACATTTCCATCTCTGTAACATTTGCATGTCTTTCTTATCTTAGGAAACTAAATTCGTGTTAGATAAACCCTGCTGGTCTCAGCTTTATCAAAACACGCTGAGGCCTAGAGCTTTAAACTTAAAGAGGCTTCAGAGAGACCCCAGGGAATTCTGGGGAGGCTGTTTGATAAGGGGCAGCCTGGTAAATAACCGATCTCTTATCTGGTGGCAGCAGATACCTCAACTGGAGGGAGAGAGGGTGCTAGAGAGAGGCATGCACTGTTGTGGCCGCATCCTCTTCACCAGGTGTAGAGGTCCCAGGTGTTTCAGATGTGGCCTTCACAAGCTCCCTCCTCCCTCCATAGAATCCTCTCCTTAAGCACCTTGACTGCTGAGTCTCGTGTGAGAAGAGGCAAGGCAGAAATGAACAACTGGGATGCATCACAACAGAACTCTGCCCATGCCTCTGTTGCTTGCTATGGATACTTTCGAGGAGCCCGTTGCCTCACATGGCAGAACATCAGAGGGTGACCTTTCAACTGTTGCTCAAGTTAGTTGCTGACCGTGGTGGTCTTTGTTTTCGTTTTACTCAGGGTACAGTCACTGGAATTAATGAATATAACTAAGTAAGGTCCATTAATTTCAATGGATCTGCTCTGAGTAACACTTAGTTGACTGTCACCCCAAGGATTTATTTGTTCTGGCTACGCAGGTTACAGTTGAAGTTCCAAAATCAGAAAGGGCAAAATATTTATAAACTTCCCTAACAGATCCAGGTCTCTGAAGTCAGTGCCATCTCAGAGATAAAGTGATGGGGCCAATTTTCACATTCAGAATAGCACGTGATATTGTTTTTCTGGATCCCTGCCATTTTAGAAACAAATGGAAAATTGCATGATCAACTGTTTCTCCATGTCAGAAATTTGCTGCCTTTGAAGCTAGCGGGCCTAGGAGAAGGATTCTAGTTTACTATGTGCAAGGGTTTTTTTAAAAAAACAAAAACTCATGGCAGAGCCTTCAGACACCTGCATTCTGATGTGATGTAGTCCTACGAATGATGTGCAACATGCTTTTCTGAATACTAGCTGAGGTCAGACACCAGTTGATTTTTGGTAAGCCACTGTCCCTCAACCTCTGTTCCCCTTTGATAAAATTTGGCCATAAAGTGCCTATCTCAGATCAGTTAGTTACAAGGACAAACAAGATTCAAACTTGTAAACACTTTGTACTGCAAATGTATTGTATTGCTCCATTATACATGAGCTTGTTCTGGAGGTCTATGTGACCTCCTTATCCATAATAACCTGGGATTTGAAGCAAGCAGTATGCAAATATATTATTCCAGAGAATGATAAATAGTGAATTTTTTATTTTTTTATTTTAAAAAGAATTAAGTGGACTTCAGAATTACTCCCATGTAAGAGTAGGTGCATGTGAATCTCCACCCAAAGAAATGAACAGGCTTTCGAAAGCAAATGCATTTGGATGACACAGCAGTGATTTCTGTGACTTGCATATAACAGGACAGAAACGGAGAGGTTGCTTAATTAGGGCTATCCTAGGATTGTGGAGCCTTTGTACAAATAATGCACTGAAGAATCTGAGGCATTTCTGCTTCTCAGGGTCCAAGGCTCTAAGGCAGAGAGGGGCACCACCTGTGCCCACTGACCTATTGGAAACAGGGGAGCAAACAAACTATCAGTTGTGAAGAGAGAAGCTTCCCACCGTGTGCCAATTTGAAGTCACAGCTGAGCTTTGCACGTATGAACCCTGATCATGCTAAATATATCTTTCCAGGGGTTGTAGCACAGCTCACGCAGGTAGGCACGGTTGGCTGAGAACAGAGCAAAGGAATTCACTGTGCAAATGTCTTTCAATTATGGACTTAATGACCCTCGTGGCCCCCTTGCAGTCTTTTAAGCGATGAACGTAATGGACTCATTGCTGTGGCTGACATTAACCTGGGCAGTCGCTCTGCTGGTTTAAATTGGCATAGCTCCAAGGAAGCCAATGAGGTAATTCTGATTTACATGCTCACTGATGACATCAGTAGCAATGCTTGTTCTACACACAGGGTGGGCATTTGTCTACTGTTAGATAGTGGTAACCACCTGGCCCGTTTTGCCCAGGACAGCTGCCTTATTTGGGGATCTAATAATTTGCCAATGGCTTTGAAAACAACCAAAAGAAATGGAAAGGAAGAGTTTATATGTGATCTTCTGAGCTGCTTTGCATTACCCTTCACTGTAAAAGTTCAGCTGTTGAAATATATCTTTGTGAGTTATGAAACAACCTTATTTTTCTCTCTGACCCAAAATTAATTAAGCCATGAAAGGAGAAATATAAAGAAAGAAAGAAGCAAACTAATAGAAGATGGAAGAAGGCTCAAATAAAGGACAGTCACTGAAGAGAAAAAGGCATTATGCATTCTTTAAAAGAAACATACATCAAATTAATAGTCAATAAACTCCAAGAACGACAGACGTGTGCTCTGCAGATGTTCGCTGCGTAATCATTTGCTGTGTTTATTCCTTTGACAAACGTGATCATTGTGATCATTGTTAGCAGCATTTAAGGAGAATGTGTCTGCCACACGTATTCAGACTGCTTGGTTTGACAGCAGCCAAACTGCCTCCCACAAAGCAGTTTAGCTCCAAATTAGCTCGCTCCAGCGTTAAATACCAGCTTGCTTTGGAGGTCTTTGTGACGAGCACCATATATATCCATAATATTCTGGTATTTGAAGCATATGTGCCAGAAAGCTGAGAGACTCTCCTTTCAAGAATACAGTATGTTACTCCAGGGTTCATCATAGACTTGAAATGGCAGCTATAAAACCTTCCAGTGTTGCAGCCTGGAAATCTAGCATTACAGTAAACTGAGAACGTTATCAGTAGTCAAGGCACTTAGATGCTCTGTCAAAAAGTTCCATGAAAGAGGCTTAATACAGGTGCCTGGCTGGCAAGCAGGGAAATCATAGAGTTGCAGAGTTAAAAGGGACTACGATTCAGCACTTTCTGCAATAACAACAAAAATGTCTCAAGGTAACTTGCAAACCCATAAAAACATAAAGCTTACAAACATTTAAAAACAATGCATCAGGAAAGTCAGTAAAAGACAAATTATCTTAAAATGCTTATCCAACAGTATTATAAAAAGGATAAATCCTACCCCATCCAACTTAAAATGTAGACCACAGAGAGGCCAGGAATCATAGTATAGGATGGTCCAAATTAGCTATCAAAGGCCTGGAACAGGAATGCCTTAGCCTGGCATCTAAAAGCTGACAATGAGGATCTCAGGTGGAGAACATTCCACAAATAGGGAGCAGCCACTGAAAAAGCTCATTGCTGTCTGTCTAAGGGAACAGGTGAATTTTTATTGGGAAACGGCACAAAGTAGTGTGAAAAGCTCCTACTGTGACATGATCTGATTAGTCTTTGGCCCAGTCCTGCTATTTTAGGAAAGAATATTTTCCGGCTATGTAATGAAGCACATTGAGCCTCTGGCTCACGGGCTAACCTCTCCTTCTCTTTTGCACATCAGAGGAAAAGATCAGGGGCATATGCTTCCAATTTTAAAGTGACCACACAGTCCCTCAGATGTCAAGACTTAGAAACTTAATTTTGTTTTCTAAAAATATTTTCGGAACAAGACAGAATGGAACCATTGTATGGCCCTGTCTCATTATCACTTACCATTGTTTAAACAAATCACAGTTCCATGAATTCAGGCATCACTGGGGACTGTGGTTGTTTGAAAAGTGGAAGTGAACACTTCTGATCTCTTTGCAGGTGAGAAAGAAGGAAGAACACTCAAACTTGAGGCTGGTTTGTTCATGTGACAGGAAACGAATGCTTTGTTAGTCTGAACGGGGCTACAGCAGGTGTTCAATTTGATTTCAACACAGTGGTGCTTTGCACCTGATGATATTTTGATGGTATACAGTGTATTGGTCCCAACGGCAAGTTGTGGCTGCAAGTTACTGTCTCTGATTGTTAGCTTATGGTAGGTACTGAACTGCTGTAACGTGGCATCTACTCATGGATCCTACAGACCACCTTTGTATCGGAAGCTAACAGTGAATGAAGAGGATGGGGCGTGATAAAATGGAATAGTGAGAGGGGAAAGTTAGGCAGTAGCAAATGGGGCAGAGGCCTTGATATTTCAGGAAACAATATTGGATATTTCAGGAAACAATATGGGTGGGGAAGAGGCATTGAGGAAGTATTTGAAAGAAGAAGAAGAAGAGTTTGGATTTGATATCCCGCTTTATCACTACCCTAAGGAGTCTCAAAGCGGCTGACATTCTCCTTTCCCTTCCTCCCCCACAACAAACACTCTGTGAGGTGAGTGGGGCTGAGAGATTTCAGAGAAGTGTGACTGGCCCAAGGTCACCCATGCAGCTGCATGTAGAGGGGCGGAGACGTGAACCCGGTTCACCAGATTACGAGACTACCGCTCTTAACCACTACACCACACCGGGAACTGTAAGCCTGAGGCCAAATGCAGCCATGCAGGCTTCTGTAACTGGCCCTTGGCTCTCTCCTGAGGCCACACCCCGCCTCAGGCCACACCTCTGACTGACCCTGCTGTGCTAGGGCTTTGGCCAGCGGTGGAGCAAGCCAATTGGATGCCTGGGGTGGCATGCGTGCCCTGCGCCCAGGGGCGGGGTCAGCTGTCTGTGGGGTGGGACCTCCGAGGAGTCTGCCTGCCTCCTCTCACTCAGCTGAAGGGGAGGTGGGGGGCAGACCATTTGGGGCAGTGCAGAGCCTGCAGGCGCTCAAGCCGCCATGTCACTCCCAGGAGAGATGCGTGGCTCGGGCGCGCTGCAGGCCCCGTGGTGAGTGCCGTCCGGCATTTTGTCATCCCTCTCAGTGGTGACACCCGGGGCAACCTGCCCCCACCGTACCCCCTTCTTCCGCCACTGCCTTTGGCATCTTTGATAATTTCTTGAATGCACATGGAGGACAGAGAGATGGTTGTGATGGCATGTGCATGTAGAAACCTCTGGTTTTTGAATGGCTGAAAATTTGCCTCTGGCCCAGCCCACTGTGGCCCGTAGCACCTGGGAGATTCCTGGGAGGTTCCCCACAAGGGAATGGAGCCATCAGGCTGAAAGGGGGCATCTCAGCTATCCATCTGTTTTCTTTGACCTACTTAGTTGGATGTCAGGGATGGGAAATATAGGATGGTAGAAACCTGTTTAGATGCTCAAACTGCTACAAGTTATCCCAAGGTCCTAGTGGAACTTTTTCTGGCAAGGACAACCGCTTTTGCCACAATGAATTGTGGCATAAATTGTGCAAAAGAATTATCTTGATGAGGCATTTAGCTTCAGACCCAGGGCCAAACAATTTCAATACTATATTGGGAAATATACATATATATATATTTAAAAATCCATGTCGGACTAGAGCAGAACTATGAAAATTTTCCTCCTTCCTTTACACTTTGGCACTCTGACTTTATTTGCATATAAATTATGAACCCTATAAATTATTTGACCAACTGACTTCCTGACTTAAGCAGATACCTTTGGCATCAAGCGCCTTGTTTGTAAACAAGAAGTAAAATATTGGTCTGTTATGTTTGCAGCACAGAGAATGCAAGAGGGAGCACTGAAATAGTGTACAACACATTAACAGGCTAAAAAATTGATATGTACTGTGCTTAAAAACATGGGGTCTGGCTTTGCTTATCTAGAAACTTTTTCCGTGAGTAAATGTGTAGTAATAGCAGGGCTTTTTTCAGCCAGAACTCACTGGAACTCCATTCCAGCCCCTCTCAGGTGGGTGCCATTGCCATTATAAGAGAACAAGGGAGGAGTTCATGGTGAGTTCCGGCACCTCTTTCTCTAGAAAAATAGCACTGGGTAACAGTATGCTCATTTGAAATGGAAAGCATCATAATCTCATAATTTAAACTCATCATAATCTAATAATTTAAACTCATTATTTAGTGTTTTAACAATGCTGCAGTTCTCTGGCTTTTAAAACTGAAGAACAGGCTTTCTCCAAGGGGAATTTTATTGCTTGGGAGATAGTGATTTCTAGGACAGGTGTTTTAATTTCTTCCACTGGTGATTCCCCCCCCCAAAAAAAACAAATAATAATACAATATTATTGTAGCCACAAAGGACATATTTAATGCTGCAAGTAATTGATTTGCTGAACAAGTAAAAAATTCTTGTTTTGTAATCTCTGGATGTTGTCCAACATCCTAAAGAGGTTCTGATATCTAGCGCCTCTAACCCTTCCCACCTGAACCAATATTTAGAAAGTTGATTCTCCCTGCATGGTTAAGAATTTTGCCATGATCCTGTCTCAAGTTCAGGATTTGACTAGAGTTTGGTTAGCACTTAAAAGCATTGCGGAATGAAATGCAGGTATCTAGTCATTAAATTAATAAAACAATATTTCCAATAAAAATAATGTCATGTAGAAAACTGGAATGCGGACTTAACAATGGTGTAAATGATAGGGTTGTGCATCAATTCTGTGTGCACCTTGAATAATGAGGCAAATCTAAGTCCCATTGGCTTACTGGAGCTTTCAGGTAAATTTGTGTAAGATTGTGGCTTTAAAAGATGTAGTTTTGGTGAAATTCATCAGATAATCTAGCATAGATATGTGTTTTTCTTCAGGTGACACAAGGATAAAGGTCCAAGATGGAAAGGCTGCCTTTCAAAACCTGGTGGTCTCTGGTTCCTGCTCAGGTTGTTACCTCTTTTTCAAAGTGACTTCTCCTCCAGGTAAGATTCGTTATCCAGTGAAGACTCTAAGGGGGAATGCTTAATGCCGAAGCTAAGCAGGTGCTGGGTAAGATCAGTGCCTTCATGGGAGATATTGGGTTCTGTAACAGAGGAAAGGTAGGATGGATGTACACATAATATAATAATAATAATAATAATAATAATAAATAAATAAATAAATAAATAAATAAATAAATTACTGTTTGTACCCCGCCCATCTGGCTGGGTTTCCCCAGCCACTCTGGGCGGCTTCCATAGAAACCAAAGATACAGTAAAATATTACAGATTAAAAACTTCCCTGAACAGGGCTGCCTTAAGATGTCTTCTGAATGTCAGGTAGTTATTTATCGCTTTGACATCTGATGGGAGGGCGTTCCACAGGGCGGGCGCCACTACCGAGAAGGCCCTCTGCCTGGTTCCCTGTAGCTTTGCTTCTCGCAATGAGGGAACCGCCAGAAGGCCCTCGGCGCTGGACCTCAGCGTCCGGGCAGAACGATGGGGGTGGAGACGCTCCTTCAGGTATACTGGGCCGAGGCCGTTTAGGGCTTTAAAGGTCAGCACCAGCACTTTGAATTGTGCTCGGAAACGTTGTTGTTTAGTCGTTTAGTCGTGTCCGACTCTTCGTGACCCCACGGACCAAAGCACGCCAGGCACTCCTGTCTTCCACCGCCTCCCGCAGTTTGGTCAGGCTCATGTTTGTAGCTTCGATAACACTATCCAACCATCTCATCCTCTGTCGTCCCCTTCTCCTTGTGCCCTCCATCTTTCCCAACATCAGGGTCTTTTCCAGGGAGTGTTCTCTTCTCATGAGGTGGCCAAAGTATTGGAGCCTCAGCTTCACGATCTGTCCTTCCAGTGAGCACTCAGGTCTGATTTCCTTAAGAATGGATGCGTTTGATCTTCTTGCAGTCCATGGGACTCTCAAGAGTCTCCTCCAGCACCATAATTCAAAAGCATCAATTCTTCGGCGATCAGCCTTCTTTATGGTCCAGCTCTCACTTCCATACATCACTACTGGGAAAACCATGGCTTTAACTATACGGACCTTTGTTGGTAAGGTGATGTCTCTACTTTTTAAGATGTTGTCTAGATTTGCCATCGCCTTTCTCCCAAGGAGCAGGCGTCTTTTAATTTCGTGACTGCTGTCACCATCTGCAGTGATCATGGAGCCCAAGAAGGTAAAATCTCTCACTGCCTCCATTTCTTCCCCTTCTATTTGCTAGGAGGTGATGGGACCAGTGGCCATGATCTTCGTTTTTTTGATGTTGAGCTTCAGACCATATTTTGCGCTCTCCTCTTTCACCCTCATTAAAAGGTTCTTTAATTCCTCCTCACTTTCTGCCATCAAGGTTGTGTCATCTGCATATCTGAGGTTGTTGATATTTCTTCTGGCGATCTTAATTCCGGCTTGGGATTCATCCAGCCCAGCCTTTCGCATGATGAATTCCTGCATATAAGTTAAATAAGCAGGGGGACAATATACAGCCTTGTCGTACTCCTTTCCCAATTTTGAACCAATCAGTTGTTCCATATCCAGTTCTAACTGTAGCTTCTTGTCCCACATAGAGATTTCTCAGGAGACAGATGAGGTGATCAGGCACTCCCATTTCTTTAAGAACTTGCCATAGCTCGGAAACGTACTGGGAGCCAATGCAGGTCTTTCAGGACTGGTGTTATATGGTCTCGGCGGCCGCTCCCAGTCACCAGTCTAGCTGCCGCATTCTGGATTAGTTGTAGTTTCCGAGTCACCTTCAAAGGTAGCCCCACGTAGAGTGCATTGCAGTAGTCCAAGCGGGAGATAACTAGAGCATGCACTACTCTGGCGAGACAGTCCGCGGGCAGGTAGGGTCTCAGCCTGCGTACCAGGTGGAGCTGGTAGACAATAAGAAAATAAATAAGAGATCTCACTTTTATCAGCTAATAAGTGAAAAAGTCTTTTGGCCTGCATGTGCAGGACCTTTGCTTCTCCTTTCTTACGGGGGAGCAAACAAGCCAGGGAGGCTTCCATTAACAATAGTTTCCCATTTCATCCAAACCAGAAAACTGTAGCTAGTGACTTCAGAACAAGTTAGGATATGAAGTCAACTTCAAACCATAGTTCAGTATCCTGGCTTGCCCCATACTATCCTGCTTTGGATGAAATGAGAAACTATAATTAATGGGGGGAAATTCCTGGTTCACTTGCTGACTCAAGCAAAGGAACAGCTACATGTGAAGCCAAAAGGATTGTTCATACATCAGCATAGTTTGAGATATTGCCATCCAAAGGTAACTAAGAAATCATTTAAAAAAATAAATAAATTCTGAAATACATTCCTCTCCCTTCCAAATTCTAATAGCTTAAACATACTGCTGAACCAATGTTTTTCGGCTTCTCAGCAACATTGGCTGAACCAGTCTAAAAAACCAGGATGGGGAAGAAGATGGAACTTTGATCGGATCCAGCAGAGCTTATACCACTGAGCCACATGGACTTGCCGATCGGCAGGTCGGAGGTTCAAATCCTCGTGACGGGGTGAGCTCCCATTGCTCTGTCCCAGCTTCTGCCAACCTAGCAGTTCAAAAGCACGTCAAAGTGCAAGTAGATAAATAGGTACCGCTGTGGTGGGAAGGTAAACAGCGTTTCTGTGTGCTCTGGCTTCTGTCACAGTGTCCTGTTGCACCAGAAGCAGTGTAGTCCTGCTGGCCACATGACCCGGAAAGCTGTCTGTGGACAAACGCTGGCTTGCTCAGCCTGAAAAGCGAGATGAGCGCTGCAACCCCACATTCGCCTTTGACTGGACTTAACCATCCAGGGGTCCTTTACCTTTTTACCTTTACCTCTCATCTTCTTATAATAAGAACTGGGATCGTGATACCATCTGTGATATTGATAGTGTTTTCTGTGCCTCATCTTTTTCTTTCAGGCCTCAAGCAATCTCAGACACAATGTCCTTTCTTTGTGGCAATAACTACATTTCTGAACCTTTAAACACATGCTCCTCATTATGTTGTTTGTTTTATTCTGCTTTTTTTTTAGGTGCTATATTATCTGTCAGATCCAATTCTTTTACTATATTCCCCATTACTGTGACTGAAAAATCAGCCATAATCTTCACTGCTGCACTGGGATCGGCAGCCTCTCTGCTTGTTTTGGGATCTGTTGTTATCTGTTGGGCCAAGAAAACAAGAAGGAACAGTGAGTTGGAAAACTGAAGTGAAGCTTCTACCCAGAAAATACCCCATTTGTTCTGCTGGGGCTTACTGTACAGAAAAAGAGAAGTTTTACAGTGAGATTGGCAATAGTTGGTGGTAGCAAATCATGCTCCCCCCAATTCTAACAGTGTAGAATGTTTCTTGGTGGTAGCAAATCGTGCTCCCCCCAATTCTAACAGTGTGGAAATGTTTCTTGCATTAGTATTGGGCAGATCAGCATGGTGTGGCATTACTGCTGTGTACAGACCCTTGTGTTGTACTTTCTAGTTACTCCAATGCAGGAGTGGCTGTCTTGGAGCCTCCAGATGTTGGGACTCCAGCTCCCATCAGACCAGCCCACATAGCCTAAGGCTTGCCTATCAGAAGGTTGGCGGTTTGAATCCCCGTGACAGGGTGAGCTCCCGTTGCTCGGTCCCAGCTCCTAGCAGTTCAAAAGCACGTCAAAGTGCAAGTAGATAAAGAGGTACCGCTCTGGCGGGAACGTAAACGGCGTTTCCGTGCGCTGCTCTGGTTCACCGGAAGTGGCTTAGTCCTGCTGGCCACATGACCCAGAAAAACTGTCTGTGGACAAACACCGGCTCCCTCAGCCAGTAAAGCGAGATGAGCGCCGCAACCCCAGAGTTGTCCGCGACTGGACTTAACTGTCAGGGGTCCTTTACCTTTTTTTTTAAGGCACTTCTTATGTCCAAATAGGTATGGGCTATTAGTTGTTTCTCCAGGAGGTCTCTTGTATATTTCACTGAAAATTTGCAGTTTAAATTCCCTTGTAATGTTTTGCTACAGAAAACAGGATCAGAAAACCTTTGAAGAATAAGAAGCATGCCCATATTCAGGCAAATCAGCAGATACTTCATGGCCAACCGTGCTTCATCCAGGAGGAGAATAAACACAACATTACTGCTAGGAGAGAAGGTGAGTCTCTTGGATACAGACTTAATCCTATTATAAAGCAACTTTTTGCACATCACAGGTTGCAACCTTAGCAGGTCCCTGAGCTGGTCTTTTCAGTGCCTCAGCCACAAATACTAGTTGTCAACTAGTTGTAGCCTGGTTAGATTTTCTCACGAGAAGTTCCAGGCAAGCTTTGCTTCAGGAGTCCAGATAATGGCTTCCTGCAATGGGCTGTTGCTTTGGGGTTTGAGGCTGGTCTCTGCCTGAACCTCCAACCTTCCAGCTCACTGGAATTGCGACCATGACAATATTTGTCCAATCTTTTATTATAGCGTTCCCTTCTTGTAATTTCAGCATCACCTACTTCACTTTTTCTTTTCTCAGTTCATATTCTAACCATTTCCCAAGTTTATTAGCAAATTGTAAAAAATGTTTAGCATATTTCAAATGTTAGCATATTCCTGCATTGGTTTTTTCCCCATTTTAATATTTTTTATTAATATTTTCTTGGTTTACAAAGGTATGCGCAATGTCTCTTTTTTCAAGTTACATTTTCCATAGGTCAGTTTCATTTGTTGAGACATTAGGGTTACATTAGGAAGAAATGGGGGGAAGAGGTGGAGGGAGCCATGGTTGGTGGGAGTGGGGTCAGGAGGCAATGTTTCTATTTTGCTTAATGTATGTGTGGGGTTTTGTGTCAGCATCGTTTGTGCAGATTCTCTTTGCTTGTCTTCCTTTGGTGGTGAGAGAAATTGGGGTTGGCCTAGGGTGTGGTTGCTTGTGATTGGCTGTGTTGAACTTTGTTTTCATGTGTGAGTGGGGTGGGTGTTTTTGGATCAGGTTAGCCATATTGATTCATCTGCTGTTGGTGGATTCTTGTTGTTGTCTTGTTGGGCTGTGTATGTGACAAAGGGGTGAAGGTATCTTCTCTATTTGTCCCTGTGTCAGTTTCAGTTTATTGGTTAGTTTTTCTAGTAGGGCTGTTTCCCATACTATTTGGTACCATTGGTCCATGCTTACTCCAGACAGGTCTCTCCAGTGTCTGGCTATGATGTTTCTGGCTGCTGGAGTAGATGGGTTATGAGTTTTTTGTGATGTGAGTTGGCATTATTGTCTTGGAATATGTTTAGTAGAGCCAGTTCTGGGGTAATTTCTAATACTTGCTTAGTTATTTTACATATTTCTTGAATGGCTGTTGTCCAGAATAGTTGGATTTTGGGGCATTCCCACCTCATGTGTAGGTATGTGCCTGTGGAGGTGCACCCTCTCTAGCATTTTGGTGAGGTTCCTATTAGCATCTTAATTTTGGCAGCTAACATTTGTTTTGTTGGTGATTGTTCCAGCTCTTTTTCTTTTTGGCTAATTTCACACAGAATCTTTTGTATTTTCTCCTGTCTCTCTTTTTTAAGTCAAGAGTTACCAGTATGTTGCATAAAGTAACCTCTTATATATGTTCTGCTTGCATCCCAGACTGATATCTTTGTCTAAATTATTCTCAAAAAATTCTTTTGATTTTTGCTTTCAATCTTGTATGATCTTACCTTGGCGTAATAATGTTTCATTAAGTCTCCCTTTAAAACACCCATTCTTTTTTCTTTTTTGTAATTAATCATAACTGGATTATGATACAAGAAAGTTTCTATTTGGTAGTATATCAACTTTATGCACCCCTGTAGCCAATGTCTTCATTACCTGTATCATATCCTATCTTGATAGGGCCCTCTGTTTCTCACTAAAATACAAAAATTGTTTTGTGTCCCCATTTTTATATCTCCAAATGTCCACAAGTTCCAGATTGTCCACAATTTCAAAAAATAAAATAAAATGGGTAACTTACCTTGGGTAATTTTTATGTTTCTTTCTGAACTTCTATTCTCCACTCCAGTCTCCCATAAGCAGGGCTTTTTTTCAGTCAGAACTCACCAGAACTCAGATCCAGCACCTTTCAGGTGGGCACAATTATCATTATAAGAGAACAAGGTGAGTTCCAGCACCTCTTTTTGTAGAAAAATAGCACTGCCCATAAGACACCAATTTCCATATGAGACCTAGTATCTGGATAACTTCTCAGTTATGTTACTGTAGGGACTGGATGGGGACTAACCCTAACATATCAAATATGCATTGAGCAAATGTTGATGGACAAAGTAAAGAGGAAACACTCCCTTACACCCCTTTCGTGTAAAGGGGTTATAAATCCTCCATGGTGTGGAAAGATTGAGTTGAATGTTTTGCCTTGACACCTGCCATCATCCCCACCCCTAGACTCTTCATATCAGCCACACATGAGAAAGACCCTTTGATCTCAAAAAGCTAGGCAGAATAGACAATGCTGGACTAAATGGTTTGTCTCAGGATTATATTCTTAGCGACTTTGCTGAGAATATGTTTTTAGAATATTGAATATTTGGACTTCGATTTCACTTTGTTCAGGAGGCCTTTTCATTTTAATCTAAAGGTTCCACTATTTTAAAGCTCCATGTGAGCAGAAAACTTTTATCTTATGAATGAATAAGCTACGGATGACCTCTTATAAATAATATATACTGCAGATGACAAAGTGAAGTCTTGTGAGATGTAAAATAGCTGCTGAGGAAGACAAAACTTCTAACGTATTTGGGAGCTTTTCTTGCATTAAACGGACTGCTACAATCAAACGTGGGATTGTTTGACTTGCAGATTATTGCTTCATCCATTTTCATGGGATCAAATCATTTTTAAATGATATTTAAAATAATGTTTGCAATGACTAAAAGACCCCAATGCTAACTTGATGGAGTTTCCCCCCTCTTTTATTGTATGCTTATTTATGTATGTGTCATTAGGCTGAATTTACTAGATAAAATTTTCATGAGTATAGCTGCATCAGGGGTTGTTTGGGTTGTATATCTATTTATATATAGGTAGGGTGTGCCTAATCCTAAAAGCGGATCAGGGACAAACTATATGCAAAAGGCTACTTTTTAAAACTAAGCCAGATCAAATCTCATCATTGCAATATATGCAAGCATGCCACATTGTCATGTCAGCCACAGAAATTAAGAGAGATTTGAAAAGGTTTAAATATTTCATTGCAAACATATACTTATCGATCTTTTGGTTTAATTGATGTTATATATAGTAAGAGTTCAATTAGACTTTCTTCACCATACCTTGCACTGCCGTATACATGTGTGAAAACTAGAGGTTGTAGGGCAAGGAGAACCTACACTCAATATATTTTGAACATAATTCATATACCTAGTTGACTCTCAAACTAAGTATGGTCCAAGTGGTGTCAGCCCAAATTTAGTACCAAAAACGCATTGCGTGTTAAGATCCCAAGACCTCCCCCAATAAATAAAGACACAATTGACACACAATTTAGTTTAAGGTTCTTGGCATAATTTTGGCCACTACTTTATTGATTACAGATCGTGAGTTTTTTGCTTAGGCATTGGTTCCCGACCAGCTGCATCTGACCTTGTCACGGCAGCACTGATGACTGGAAACCGGCAGACGTCAGTAAGGGAAAACATTCTGGGGGAGCGTTGGGCCAGGCTCAGACTCAAGCTCACCCCAAATGCTCCCAGGGGCTCTGGCATGGCCCTAAGCCCTGGAAGGGAATCGGACAAAAGCAAGGCGAGCCCCTGGATTCCTTTAATCCCTTTCGCGCATTGGAGGGACAAGTATGACAACCTCCCCTCCACGCCACATTGAACCAATGCCTAACTGCCAAACCTTACAAAGTTGTGACAACTTGCTACACGGTAGGTGAAACCCAATGGCACCAGCCAATCAGCCAAATGGGAAAATTCCTACTGGGCCCCTGTCCCCAAAACAGACGACCCACGATGGCATAGCAAGGTCATAATGAACCCTAAATATAGGGAGGGTGGGCGGGTGATCCGATGCATGAGGCGAAAAAAGGAAGCTCAATGCAACGTGCAGCGATATATACCGTAGGTCCCCCGGTTAATGCATAAAACGATCCCATTGGCCAGAATTACCCTAGGAACCGAGGGACCACCAATTGGGTTGTTGTGGCTATCCAGTCGCTCCCACCCATAACAGCAGTGAGGTCAGTCATTGATCTCACCACAACACGTGCTCTCTGGGAGGAGGACAGGATTTCCAGACCTTCTCAGATTTATCAGGTTCCCTTGCCACATAGAGGCTGAGCATTCTAGTCTGCATGCTGTGATATTTCCTTGACCCATCTCTCACTGTTTGATAGAGGCATGCAGATTACCTTTAAGCTATTCTCCCTTATGAACTGGCACAAACAGTGCAGCCATCATCCGAAGCCCTTCCTTGTGCACCTCCTCCATGAGAGGTCTGGAGAGGGGCAACACAAGAATGGGCCTTTTCTGTGGTGGCTCCCTGCTTGTGGGATGCTCTCCCCAGAGAGGCTCACTTGGCGACTTCTTTACATGTCTTTAGGCACCAGGTGAAAACATTCCTCTTCTCCCAGGTCGTTGGCTAATTTAATTTAAATCTATGGCCTTTTAATCTCTCTGTGTGTGTGGGGGGGTATTGTTTTGTTTGCTATTATGTTGTGTATTTTTGTGTTTTTAAACTGTAAACTGCCCTGTGATCCTGAGATGAAGGATGGTAAATAAAATAAAATAAATCTGCCCTCATTCACCATGTTTGCTGTGAGTCCCATGGAACCAATTGGGGTGGAATGGTCTAAAGGGGAGGAGGAGGAGGGCTCTGGATTTAAACTGGCTCCATCTCTCGTGGCCATTGTGGCGGGGCATCTGTTGTGCTTGGGGCTGAAGGGGTTTTGGCTGCCCCAAAGTGCAGAGCTCAGCTCTTCCCCCACTAGAATGCAAATAAGGGACTGCGAGGGGTTCCCCTGGTCCTAAACTTGTTGCTTATGTAAGAAGCAGAAAGAGGTTAGTTTTGAGTTTCATCTTATTTTAATTAATATTTATCACAGAAAAGCAGAAGGAGCAAGAGAGGAAATGCTACAGTTTATATGTTTTGATATTTGCCATACTCTTTCAAAATACAGTGTTCAGCTGTATGCCTTAGGATACATATCTGCTATAAATTCATTTTTTATCTAATTTGTCTGAGATCTAAGCTTCCTGTGGAGGTCTGAGATCAAAGGATCTGATTCTTTCTGATGTTGGCTCTGACACGTAATGTGTGCTGACTTAGTTCTGTCTATAAAATCGCAGTGGGAGGCTGCCAGTCTCCCTTGGCACCTTTACATAGTGAACTTTCATTTCGACTGGTGAGGATGACAGGTACCACATTGATTGGAGCCACCGTGTAAATAATTAATAGGGAGAATTTTCTCTGCAAAAGGAAATCCAGTCCTTCAGATTCTTCTTAAAAGGAATTGTTGCAAGATCATTAAAAATCCCCAATATGTTCGAATTTAAACAAGAATAACAACATCTTAAGCAAATATAATATGCATGACATGGAATGTCTAATCTTTGCATTCCCCTCTATTTAAAGTGATGTTGGTTTTGAAAACTGAGCAACCATCAAAGTTAGTTAGTTCTATTTTGTTAATGCCAGCTAATTTTATTTCCCATGAACAAACCCTAGATTTTTTTATGTTTGGTATTTTAAATTTGGTTGTGGATGAATGGTATATATAAGACAGCATAAACCAGCTTAGAACTTAATATAACATAAATCAAATGACAGATTAGATGTGCTTTGATTTACCAATCCAGCTGTACAAAGACATAGTTTTAAATGATCCCATTGCATGTGGGAAGATAATTTCCCCCTCTTTATGGATACTGGGATATAAATGTAAACTTTTACATTGGGAACTATGAAAAAGGCAAGGCCGGCCTGAGACATGATACCAGTCCCTACCAGTCCCTTTTTGGTCTTGGCATGCTCTGCAGAGCATTTCCTCTCATTCATCCTTAGAATAATTGTTGACCAGCCATTGAAAACACCAAGAATTGGACCACAGTCTATCAAATGAATGCTTATATTTTCTTTAATAGACCTGAAGCTGCGTGAAGAACATGAAGACACAGCAGAACCATTAAGGAAGGGCCATCAACAAGCATTTAACAGCACAGCAGTGGGAGCAGTGAACAGGACCAAGCAAGGCCGTAGGTCCCACAGTGGAACATCCACATGGGGGTCTCTGGAACTTCAGCAGCTGAGCATCAAGGAGCTTAATGACTGGAAGGATACCAAGCAACATTTCACAGACTATGCTCAGCAGAAGGAAACGAAGAAAGGGCAATTCACAGATAAAAGATATAAAAGACCCTCAGAGAAGCCTGCCTTGAGGTCAGGAGGGGATGTGAGGGAGAAACAGCAAGTTGCAGTACCATAACAATAAACTAGTTCCTGGGATAGGATTCATGATAAATAATATAAAGGTAAAGGTACCCCTGCCCGTACAGGCCAGTCTTGACAGACTCTAGGGTTGTGCGCCCATCTCACTTAAGAGGCCGGGGGCCAGCGCTGTCCGGAGACACTTTCCGGGTCACGAGGCCAGCATGACAAAGCTGCATCTGGTGAGCCAGCGCAGCACATGGAAACGCCGTTTACCTTCCCGCCAGTTAGCGGTCCCTATTTATCTACTTGCACCGGGGGGTGCTTTCGAACTGCTAGGTTGGCAGGCGCTGGGACCGAACAACGGGAGCGCACCCCGCCACGGGGATTTGAACCGCCAACCTTTCAATCAGCAAGCCCTAGGCGCTGAGGCTTTTACCCACAGCGCCGCCCGCGTCCCCACAGCGCCACCCGCGTCCGATAAATAATATGGAAGTTAACAAATAAATGCGCTTTAAAAACTCGAATAGTTTCACTCATTGACAATCCAAGAACCACCAAGGTTTTTAAGTCCATGGGCATATTTGGATTTTGGTGAGTGCGGGTGTTACTCCCTCTGCTCAGTCAATCTCTAGCTTACCCCCCCCCCCAGCCTGAGATGAAAAAAGAGCGAAAGCACATGTGGCCTATTTTATATGCGTAAAAGTCAGATCTTGTAGAATTAAACTGAGTCTTGAAAAGCACCTAGCACTTAAAGAAGAACTGGGAAATGGTGTAAGTCTCAACATCCTCCCTCAGCAAGGGAGAATAAGCTATGCACCCACACTGTATCCTTATTGGGGCAGTGGGTGGAGGGACCCCCCCAGGCTTTGTGAGTACAGTCATACCTCAGGTTACAGACGCTTTGGGTTGTGCGATTTTGGGTTGCGCACCGCGCCAAACCCGGAAGTACCGGAATGGGTTACTTCTGGGTTTCGGCACTTGAGCATGCGCAGAAGCACTAAATTGCACTTTGTGCATGCGCAGAAGCACCGAATCACAACCCGCACACGTGGCACTGCGGGTTGCGGATGCTGTGGGTTGCGAACGTGCTTCCTGCATGGATCACATTCGCAACCCGAGCATCCACTGTACAAGGGGAGGAGGTCTCAAGGGCAAATGCCATTGAAATACCTTCTGTGACCCCCGGTGCAGGCAGAAGGTGGAGCAAATGGTCAGCTCTAAAAGAATTCACATAATTTGCTTATGGTTGCCAAAATTTGAATATTTAAGCATTCAGATTAGCTGGGATGTAATTCAATAAGAATCTTCCATGGTAAAGAAGGTGAACAAAAGGCAAAAAAATAAATAATCAGTAATTTTGTTTTATATAATAAGGAGAAGAGAATAAAAGCTGGTTTGGTTGTTACATTTGCTGTAGGGATCAGCTTTCTCAAGGCAAAGGCCATTCCTTCAAACTTGCTCCACAGACATACTGTACCATCTACCAGAACTCACCACATTAGTTGGGGCAACGTAATGAGATCCTCACCTCCACCAGTAACTGCCGTGGAGCAAAAGTAGAGAAACTCATTATGTGAAGGTAGTAGTAATGGCTCATGTAGTGGTTTCTAATCAATGATGCCCAGCAGTGGGAATTCTTACTACCATGTGTGCCTTGGAAGGTGAAGTCAAACCATTGGGAGAGTTGCAGCGCCTGCTGTGGCTGTAGAGACTGCTACGGGAGAGACATGTTTTGTTGCTTCCGGTTGTGCTGATGCAGACACACCGGCGCGTTTCTTCTCTCTGTGCTCCTCCCATCAGTCATTATTACCATGACGCATGTAACATCTAGATAAGCTAGATAAGCGGGAAGGTAAACGGCATTTCCGTGTGCGGCTCTGGCTCGCCAGATGCAGCTTGTCACGCTGGCCACGTGACCCGGAAGTGTCTCCGGACAGCGCTGGCCCCCGGCCTCTTGAGTGAGATGGGCACACAACCCTAGAGTCTGTCAAGACTGGCCTGTATGGGCAGGGGTACCTTTACCTTTATGCTCAGCTTGGGATGCGGGTGGCGCTGTGGGTAAAAGCCTCAGCGCCTAGGACTTGCCGATCGAAAGGTCAGCGGTTCAAATCCCCGTGGCGGGGTGCGCTCCCGTTGCTCGGTCCCAGCGCCTGCCAACCTAGCAGTTCGAAAGCACCCCCAGGTGCAAGTAGATAAATAGGGACCGCTTACTAGCGGGAAGGTAAACGGTGTTTCCGTGTGCGGCTCTGGCTTGCCAGATGCAGCTTTGTCATGCTGGCCACGTGACCCGGAAGTGTCTCCGGACAGCGCTGGCCCCTGGTCTCTTGAGTGAGATGGGCGCACAACCCCAGAGTCTGTCAAGACTGGCCCGTACGGGCAGGGGTACCTTTACCTTTACCTTTATGCTCAGCTTGCTGGTGTCAGACAGTAGGGCAAGAGTGGACACTCGGAGTTGATTGAGAAGCACAGCCCCACTCCTGCTTCAAACACACAAGTGCCCTACACATGGGTGATGCATGAATACAGCTAATGTGTTATCAAGGAATAAGATCCTGAATTTGTCATATAAGCAATGGGTTTAATATACTATTACTAATGGCAGAACACAACTATGGTCAATTACATGGTCGAAGACTTCAGTTGTTTCTATTCCTAGTTAAACTAATTCCAGCCTTAGTATCTGACGGTCTTGAAGTTATTTATCTGATTGCATCTGTTGAAAAACAGATTTTAAGGGGCAGGCTGCCTGGGGCGATCCTAATTGTTCCTCTCTCTTTGAATACATGCAGCGGGGACAGGGGGGAGCTGGCTTTGGAGGGTGAATGCAAGGGAATAAAATTTTGAACTGACTTCAAAGTAAGGAAAGCAAAACCAAAGAAAGGAAATAAAGATGCGAAAGGAGTTTAGTTGGTCCCGCAGTTTGATTAAAAATAAAAAGCACAGGAAGACAGGGCTGGCAAAGTTAAGGTCAAGTATAATTCCATTTATTTAAAATATAGTAAATGGGTGTTGCTTTAGTTTTTGGACTTTTACTTTGTTACTTTTACTTTAAATTGTAATTGTATTTCTATAAATGGAAATTCATATTGTTCTGCAAATAAAGCAGAATTATAAATAGTCAAGTGTGGCACTTATTTCTGTGAAGATGTTTTTGAGGAACCATCAGAGACAACAGCCATTCCCCCTGCCTCTCCCCCAGATGGTGGCCATGCCACCCTCGCCAGACACCCGGCATGCATGCCAAGGGGTCCTTTTGTGTGCCAATGTATGTGCATAGAGCTCCACAACAAAAGGGGAGATCCTGTCTGGTCCAACATCTTCCCTTGTACAAAGGAGCTCTACGTGCATAAATTAGTTCATATCTAAATCCCCTTCTCTCACATACTGAGCATTCAGGTGGGGAAGGGCTTGGTAGCCAGGCGTGTTGGCGGGGGACTTGCTTAAACAGACCCATGAGACCTTCACAGTGTGTGAACAGGTTTAAGAAGGACCTTATATCTAGGGCAGGCTTCCTCAACCTCAGCCCTCCAGATGTTTTTGGCCTACAACTCTCATGATCCCTAGCTAGCAGGACCAGTGGTCAGGGATGATGGCAATTGTAGTCCCAAAACATCTGGAGGGCCGAGGTTGAGGAAGCCTGATCTAGGGGCTATCTTTCCATGCATGAATTCACCTCTGCTGTTTGAATTTGGCTCAGGGGTGTTCTCATCGAGAAGGTGCTCTTGCAGTGCAAGCCTATGTATGTTCAATCAGAAGAATGCTTTCTCCCTTGTAAGTGTATTTAGGAGCACAGCCTCAGTTGGTCTTAACAGCTGTGGTGACCAGAGCCGTCTTTCCCATAGGGCTTAGTGGTGCGTCGTGCCAGGGTGCCGGCCTCTCAGGGGCGCCCCAGCAAGAGGGGGAGCTGTGTGGCTTTGCCTGTGACCTCCCCTTTCCCTGCATGCCCACCAGCTGCGCCCCACCAACCAAAGGCTGGCAGGTGTGCAGCTTCCCTCCCAAGCCTCCTCAGGAGGAGAGCGATCCTCACAGAGGCTTGGGAGTGAAGTTGCACACCTGCCAACCATATGGTTGGCAGGGCACAGCTTCCATCCTAAGCCTCTGGAGGGATCGCTCTCCTCCCACAAGGCTTGGGAGGGGCGCGACTTCACTCCCAAGCCTCTGCGAGGATTGCTCTCCCACAACGGCATGGGGGAGAGTTGCTCCCTCCCCAATGGCTGGCAGTGTGCAGCTACGGCCACCCTAACACTATCCATGGTAATTTGGGGATACTGGGTGGATATTTGCACCCCGGCGCCGCATCTGCTAAAGACGGCTCTGGTGGTGACCGCAGGAGAGAAGGCAGTCCTTGAGTTATCTAGGCAAGTAAAGGACTGAATGAAAAACATCCAGCCTTGGTGACTGAGCTCCTGAGTGTGGCTGCACCATTGTCAGCTGCTGAAGAAGCACGCGTCCAACGTATACCATATCTTACTGTGAACATAATGAAGAAAGAAAAAAACTTGCTAGAAAAACCCTCTGCTCTCATGCTGTGTCTAGGAGCTGACAAAACTTATTTGCTAAATACCCTTCATTTGGTGAGTGACAGGAGACTGGTGTCAAGTGAGAAAATGAAATGTAAATTTTATTAAACACCTCTCTCATCTCTGGGTACCAATCCAGATTCCAGCGTAACACAGCAAATCAAATCCTCTCTTTGCCTTGCCGAAGGGCAAATGAAGAATCATTTCTCCTTAATACCATTCTTTCCTGCTAAAATATTTTCCTGTTTAGTAACTGCAAAAATTAAAATATGAACCCTATGTTAATCTCTCTCCGTGTGTGTTATGTGTTTGGTGTTGTTTTTTAAAGTGCTTCATTTATTGTGGGTTGTGCTTTAATTCTGTCTTCACATACTGGTAATTGGCTCCAGCAAAAAACGGCAACACTAAAAATAAAACTTTAGTAACTCATCCAGAGATTTTATTCAAATGTCCATCATGAAACTCAGCAGCAGGACCTGAGGTTTTTCATGATAATGACTTACCTGCTGCATTCAACACAACAATGGAGTGAAATGGGTTCTTGCATGGGCAAAAAAACTCAAAACTGCCCTTCACATGGGGGCTCAAAAAGTTGGTGGAGGGCATAGGGATGTTAGTAACAGACTGGTGCCTGGTTAGTACCTGTTGCTGCCTGGGCTTCTGCACTATCACAATCCTATCTGGAAGAGTAAGGATACGATGGGCAAGACCATACAGCCCATTTGCCACATATTAGCCACCCCTTCTTTAAAGCCCTACCTGACGTATGATCTGGGTACCTTCAAGCCTGTTTTCTCCCTTACGAAGCTCCCTCCAGACTCGAGTTATCGTCTGGGGCCCAGCTCCACATCCTTGGATACCGGGCAGCATGCTGGGCAAAGCATACCTGGGGCCTTTTCTGTCACCATACCCACTTTGTGGAAGAATGCCTTGCCCATCCCAAGAGAGCTGGATCAGGACCTCTCACTTAAAACGGCTTTAGCTGGGTGGCAGCGGCTCAA